TGGTTTAGAGCACACTGGTGCCACCAGGCCCCACCAGACCCTCTTGAAACTCCACTGTCCTTGGAAGGTGACTTTGGCTTCCTGCTTGGTGTCTGATGATCTCCAAGAGATGACTGCTTGAACTCCATGGTAAACAAGGGCACAAGGATGAAGGGACAAAGGTAGACATGTAACTGGTAACACTTGTCTTTAGTTCTAGAAGAGGGGACCTCCCAGGGCTTTGACTTACGTGTTACTAGCTGGATCTGTACAACACAGCCCACCTAGCTGCAAGGGAGGCAGGAAATCAAAGCCTTTCTCTTTAGCTTCTGTTGCAGAGGAAGGTGATGACCATGCAGTGACTAAGCAGAGACAGTGTTTATCTGTACTGCCCCCTCACTGTCTCTGCTTCTATGGCTTCTTGCCTGTACTGGTGCATATCTGTTTCAGACTGCTTTCCTGAGGACTGGTGCTTTCTATCTTGTGTTCTCTCTCTGTCTCTCTGAATGTAAGGGGGAACATGGCTGCCCAGGCCTGGACCTGCATCATTATCCAACTCCAACTCACTGATGATCTGAATGATCCAAATGCTAAGGTCAGAGATGCTGATGGGCTCAACTTGAATTGGGAGAGAAATCAGATGGGTGGCAGACACTTGGCTACGGCCACGGGAGCAACATCATGTGAGACAAACCTCGTGGTGTGGTACTGCTCAAGGGAAGGCAGGCATCAGAAAGTGAGGTCAGATATAATGTGAAGATAACAAACATCACCATGTCTTTTTTTCCTCTCTCTTTCTCGTGGTGCTGAGGATAGAACTCAAAGCCTTGTTCATGCTAGACTATCACCCTACTACAGAGCCACATCTTCCATGATTTTAATAATAGATTTATTTTTATTTATGCATATGTGTGTGCACAAATGTGCTGGTGCCCATGGAGGCCAGAAGCTAGAGTTACAGGTAGTTTTGAGCCACCTGTTGTGGGTGCTGGGAATTAAATTCAGGTTTTTTGCAAGAGCAGTATGCACTCTTTTTTTTTTTAAAAATATTTTACTTATTATTTTTATTTTATGTGTATGAGTGTATTGCCTGCATGTAGGTAGGTGCACCCATGTTGGGCAATGCCCATGGAGGTCAGAAGAGGGTGTTGGATTCCCTTGGAACTGGAGTTAAGGATGGTTTGTAGCTGCCATGTGGGTGCTGGGATTCAAACCCGGGTCTTCTGCAAGAACAGTGTTCTTAACTGCTGAGCCATCTCTCCAGCCCCAAGAGCAGTATGTACTTTTAACCACTGAACAATCTTTCTAGCCCCCTCCATGATTGAAAAAAAAACTTTTATTTATTTATTTATTTTATGTATATGAGTGTATTGCCTGCATGTGTGTAAGTGCACCTGTGTCATGCAATGCCTGTGGAGGTCAGAAGATGTCAGATTCCCTAGAACTAGAGCTACGGATGGTTGTTAGCTGTCATGTGGATGTTGCGAACCCAACCCGGGTCTTCTGCAAGAACAGCCAATGCTCTTAACTGCTGAGCCAACTCTTCAGCTCCACTCCATGATTTTTCTAAGACAAGGTCTTACTATGTAGCCCAGGCTAGCCATGAACTTATTGTGTATCCCAGACTTTTGTTCTTCCAATCTACCTTTCTCCACCTCTTGAGTACTGGGATTACACACATGCCACCATGTCTGGCTAATGTGACCCTTAAATCATCTAAAACACAGAGGATTCTTACAGGCATCACATATCACATGCAAATTCAAATATACATGTGACGCAAACCAACTTCATGTTTACTGTATGGTTTGGCTTCCAGACATTGCCAGCTGCTCCAACTGCTGCTTAACTGAGCAATTTGTATTGCTGCTGGAGAAAAACTTGCTGTTTGGGACTTTGGGCAAAAAGAATAGGAAAACTGTTCAGTTCAGCTGTGTGTGTGTATGTGTGTGTGTGTGTGTGTGTGTGTGTGTGTATGATGCTTGCACATGTATGTGTGAGCACCCATGTATGCATCCTGTGCACTCATGCAGAGACCAGAGGACGGCCTTGGTGTCCTGCTCTATCACTCTCCACTGTATTTCCTTAAGACAGGGTCGTACTGAGCCTGGACCTAGGCTGATGGCCAGCAAGCCCCGAGGATTCTCCTGTCTTCATTCTTCAGCATGGGAGCTGCAGGTGCACAGGCAGCCACACCTGACTTTAAAATATTTACTTATTTATATTTTAAGTGTATGAATGTTTTGCCTGCATATTAGTAAGTGTACTGTGTGTGCAATGCCTGCAGAGACCAGAAGAGAGCATTGGGTCCCCTGGAAACTGGAGTTAAGGATGGTTGTTAGCCACCATGTGGGTGCGAGAATTGAACCCAGGTTCTCTGCAAGAGCAATCAGTGCTCTTATTGGCTGAGCCATCTCTCCAGCCCCAAACACACTTGACTTTTTACATGGGTGCTGGGGACTCAAACTCAGGTCCTCGTGCTTGAGAAATGCTCTTACTCACTAAATCATCTTCCCAGCCCCATCCCACCCCCCTTTTTTTTTTTTCCAGACAGAGTCTCATGTATTCCACGCTGTCCTATGTAGCTGAAGGGGAAAAAAAACCCAAACCAAACAAACACACCTTGAATTTCTGCTCTTCCTGCCTCTACCTCCCAAGTCTGGGATTACAAATACAGGTCTGTTCAGGTTTTTTAATGTAAAGTTTGGGATTTTCAAAAGCCTTTTGGTTCAGGATTTTTTATGGAAAAATTTTTGGATTTTCAAAAGCCTATTTTGTCTTTCTTCTTTAAAAAATGATTTATGGCCAGGCATGGTGGCGCACGCCTTTAATCCCAGCACTCGGGAGGCAGAGGCCGGCAGATCTCTGTGAGTTCAAGGCCAGCCTGGTCTACATAGAGAGTTCCAGGACAGCTGGGGCTACAGGGAGACCCTGTCTCAAAAAGACCAAAAAGAAAAAAAAGATTTATGTATTTATTTTTATGTGTATGCTTGTGTGAGGTTATTGCACCACATGAATACAGGAGCCCACAGAACCCAAAGAAAGGCAATGGATCTCCTGGAACTGGAGTTAAGGATGGTTATTAGCCACCATGTGGGTGTTGAGAATGGAACCCGGGTCCTCTGCAAGAGCAGCCAGGGCTCTTGACCACTGAGCCATCTCTCCAGCTCCTCAAGATCCTTTTTTAAGGTCAAGTAAAGTTTACATTTCTCACTGACTTTATGCCTGTCATACAGTAACACGTAAAAAGTTTCTCCTACACCCCTTGAATTTTAATGACTATAAAGAATACATTTGGCTTTAGAATGTGATGATGAGCTTTAATTGTCAACTTGACAAAACCTCGAATTGCCTGGGAAGAGTCTTAATGAGGGATCATCGACATTGAATTGGCCTGTGGGTGAGTCTGTGGGGGATTATTTTAATTAAGTTAATCGCTGTGGGAAGGCCTGACCTATTGTGGGCAGCACCATTCCTTAGGCAAGGAGAGCCGAACTGCACAAGGCTGGAGAAACTGAGCCGAGCGCCAGTGAGCAGGCATGCATGCATCTGTTTCTTTCTGCTCTAGACTGGGAATGTGGTGTGACTAACTGAAACTCCTGCCTTGTTGTCCCCACAGTGATACACTGTGACTTGGAATTGTAACCTGAAATAAACTCCTTTTTCCACTAAGATACTTGTTGTCAGGGTGTTTTATCAACAGAAATGAAACCTGAACAGAATATAAACATATTTTTATTGTGGCTTTTAATTTATTTGTATGTAAGTGCACCAGTGTTGTGCAGTGCCCACAGAGGTCAGAAGAGGGAGTCGGAGCCCCTGGAACTGGAGGTAAGGATGGTTATTAGCCACCATGTGGGTGCTGGGAATCGAACCCAGGTCCTCTGCAAGAGCAGCCAGTGTGCTTAACCAATGTGCCATCTCTCCAGCCCCTATTGCAGCTTTAAAAACAAAACGAAACATCAGTTCACTTTGTGCCTTCTGGCTCGACCTCCACCTGGGTGTGACTTGCTGCCTGACCCATTAAAAAGGCAGTCATGAGAGGTCATGGACATGGAGAGGCAGGAAACACAGCAAAGGCTGTGGAAACAGAGTGTGTATTCCTTGATGGCAGAGACCTTGTGTGTCGTGTGACCCAGAACTGGAAAGACTGGGGCATCTTGGTACAGCAGAATGGATGATATGACATAGAATTTGAAACCGACCTTCCAGTCCAAACTGGCTCAGGATTTACCAGCTGAGGACTGTAGGCTGGACAGTCCCCCTTCCCTAGGCCTCATCTCTGCAATGGGGAACTCAGGGTTTGGAGAAAGGATCAAATGAAATGTGTTTTGAGAACTACAGAGTAGCATAGAAATGTCAGTCAGGATTATTACAGAAGCAATGAAATTGGCTGGCATTCTAAATTTATTATAATAAACTCAGATATAAATTCATTATACTGGGCGCTGGAGAGATGGCTCAGCTGTTAAGAACACTGGCTATTCTTGCAGAAGACCCGGGTTCGAACCCCAGCACCCACATGGCAACTAACAACTGTCTGTAACGTCAGTTCCAGGGGATCCGACAGTCTCTTCTGACCTCCGCAGGCATTGCACAACACGGGTGCACTTACCTATACGCAGGCAGTACACGGAGCCCTGAAGTTTCCCTTCTGCCCTGTGGCTCCAGCCCAGGGCTTGGGTTTTCTCATCTGTGGGTCTCTTAGAACTCCTTAGAGGAGGAGCTGATGCTTGGGTACCTTGTGGTCCAGACATGAACCACACAATTATTTCCACAGGTCTAGGAGTCTGGGTTATAGAAATACTCTTCACATACCTGAATGTATATACATTTATAGATATTAAAAAAAATTCTTCCCACACACTCCAAAATAGATACTGTGCAAAATATCATTCTAGAAAGCCAAACACCAGGGGAACAGACTTTAAAGTGCCACAAAAGTACTTTGGTATTTTGTTCTGGGAGAGTCAAACCAACTCACCCAAGACCACGTCAGGCCCCTGGGGACAATGTTTTTTCTAGTTCTTTGCAACAGGCTTAGAAAATGACAGGCTCTGGCTGGACTTGCAGACCTCTTTCTTCGTCTCTCTTTCTTGGCCTATCTTCAGGGTGGCTTTCTTGCCTCCAGCCTTCAACAAACAAGAGAAACAAACACACACACTTTTGTTAATGCAGTCAGAGCCCCAAATGTCCTGTGCCAATCAATGGCTTTGTTCTGTGTTATTTTTGTACATGAAATAAAATGTAAAATATATACATATACAGGTATGAGCAAGGACGGTTCAAGGACAGCACTGGGTGGCTTCTCCTGCCCAGCAGTCACCAAACTGAAGGTGTCCTGTGTCTCTGGTGGTTTGGCAGGAGAATGTGGCAGGCTCTTTAGGAAGGAGGCTGCCACCCCTTTCTGAGCCCATCCCTTTGCCCTACAGGTAGCCACAGGTCTTTAGTCAAGCAGGGTGATCCCTCTCTGGGTTACTGGGGCTGATGAGCCCAGTGTTATTCACTTGCTTCCTGCCTGTCACAGGCCTGGAAAGAGGTCTGCAGAGGAATGATGGAGTGGTGAAGAGGAAACTGTGTGTGTGTGTGTTTACATGATACAGCATGGCCTCTAAGGCTTACTGGTCCTCTCCCTTGGTTTTTACAGGACACCTATTCCTGTGTCTTTGTAAGCCAGGGCCATTTGTGAATACATAACCATGGCCCCAGAATTTCTCTTGTCCACAGTCCTGGGTCCATTGTAGATACACTGGGACTTGGGTGTGTTTTGGTCCAGCAGGACTTACTTCCCATTCTCTCTTCTGCACATTTTTGACTCCAACCTTCAGGACTTATGTACACCCATGGGGAGGGGGAGCTGGTTGATAAGGGGAATTTCAGCTCTGTCACTCTGTGACCCCCCCCACCCAGTTTCCTCATCTGTCAGGATATGGGTTCTGTCTTTCTTAGTGACCTGAGAAATCACTCTGGGAGGGTTTTAGATTACATTTTATTTAGTGTGTGTGTGTGTGTGTGTGTGAGAGAGAGAGAGAGAGAGAGAGAGAGAGAGACAGAGACAGAGACAGAGAGACAGAGATAGAGAAAGAATGTGTGTGTGAGAGAGACAGAGAGACAGAGAAAGAATGTGTGTGTGTGTGTGTGTGAGAGAGAGAGAGAGAGAGAGAGAGAGATTTGATGTGCACATGCCATGTCTATGCTTGTGATCAGAGGACAACTTACAGGAGCTGCTTCTCCCTACTAGGTGAGTACTGGGGATTGAACTTGGGCTGCTAGGATCGTTGGCAGGTGTCTTAACCTGCTGAGCCCCTTTCATTTTCTTTCTTTTCCCAGCCCCAGTGCGGTCCTCCCTCTGCACAGTCTTCCCTTTGTACTCCTTTTCACTGGATTTTCACCAAAACTGCTGCATGCAGATGGTTCCTAAATGTTACTGCCCACACCTGCTGCAGCGTCAGGGCCAGAAAGTTGGTTAAAAATAGTCTCAAGTCTTGGTAGCTGTCACCCCCAGGTCTGCCAGGAGTGGGAGTGGGGGGCTTCTGGTCTATTCAGTGTGACCAGGGAAAGGCCAGCAGAAGGCAGAAATGTGGTGGCTGAGCTAGGAAGAAGAGGCAGCTGGGGACTGTGGGCTGCCAATGTGTACAGGAAGAGGTGGGGCCCTGGCAGAGTCCAGCCCAAGGTGGTCGTCTAGACAGTACCCTATGTTCAGCTAGACATTTTTGGAACCACAAGCCACACCTTGAGGGACAGAAGGCAGTCAAGCCAAGCTCTGTCCAGGTGGTAATTATACAGTAGACTGGCTGTTTTGGACAATTGCAAGCCCCAGCCCATTTCCAAGCAACCACAGGTGTGGTGGAAACAATCCTTTCCCTCAGAGGCCTCAGCTGCCTCTGGCTGGGTGGGTCCCCATGAAAGAGGCTCCAGAGCGCTGCCCTCTGGACTTTGCCTTCAAAACACTTTGACCAAAGTAATTATTAGCACTTGTATTTGCTTAAAAGAAAAATGGACCCAAGGCTTGAGGAAGGCAGGATTTTCTATGTGTCTTCTGGTCTGGCTCCTTCCATCTTTTATTCATTACTATGCCCCTCTCACTACAGACATCTTTCTGTAATCCCTCCCACTTCTATAAAAAATAGTACTGGGTATATGGTATGCATGTGTGCAAATATGTACTATGCATGTACATATGTATACAAACATGTCAACACTAAGAAAGTTTGGATTTTCAGATCAGAGATCCTCAACCTGTGTGTGCATGTATTATCAAATATATATATGTATATATATATATATACACACACACATATATTTGTGATTTACACATAAAGAATCCGTGTTTGTTGGGCTGAAGTGATGACTCAGTGGTTAAGACCACCAGCTGCTCTTGCAACACCCACATGGCAGCTAACAACCCTCCCTAACTCTAGTTCCAGGGGATCTAATGCCCTTTTCCAGCCTCTGTGGGCATTGCACTACACAGGTGCACTTACATACATGCAGACAAAACACTCATATACATAACATAAAAATTAATAATAAAAAAGAATCCATGGGGCGGGAGAGATAGCTCAGTGGTTAAGAACACTGGCTGTTCTTGCAGAAGACCTGGGTTTGAATCCCAGCACCCACATGCCAGGGGATCTGACAGCCTCTTCTGTCCTCTGCAGTCTTTATATGACACGGGTGCACTTACCTACATGCAGGCAATACAGACACACACATAAAATAAAAATAATTAAAAAATATTAAAATAAGGGGCTGGAGAGATGGCTCAGCGGTCAAGAGCACTGACTGCTCTTGCAGAGGACCCGGGTTCTAATCCCAGCCCCCACATGGCAGCTACGAACCATCCTTAACTCCAGTTCCCAGGGAATCCGAGGCCCTCTTCTGGCCTCCATGGCATTGCATGACACGGGTATACTCGCATGCAGGCAATACACTTGTACATATAAAATAAAAATAATAAATATTTTTTAAAATATTAAAATAAAAAAAAGAACCCATGTTTGCCTCCTTTGGAGGTGGCACTGTCCCTGGGGATGTACAATTACCCACCACACCTGTCACACCCCCCACATTCCAGACTTTCGGCACCTCTGTCACAGGAATAACAGTCAGGATGAAACCTCTTTACTTATGATTTTCTCCCCAGTGCCCACCCCATGGTAGCGAAACTTAGGTGCTTAGTAAGTGTCTAGGAGATTTCCCAGAATGTCTGGAACTAAAAGAATGCCCTTTTTAGCATAAAACCCACAGACAATGATAAAAGACTGTTGGCTACAATTAAAAAAGAAAAAGAAAACCAACCCATGGCATTTTGGACGGCAGAAAACAAAGGCAAGAGCATTGAAAAGAACCATCCCAGAAGTTATCAGAGAGGGACGTATGAGTGGGCAAGCTGGAGGGGAGTTCGTGGGTCTGTCCTTTTCCAGGTCACACTGACCCATCTGGAAGTATGCTACAGAGGGGCCCCAGCACACCTTTGCAAGGCACCTGGAGCAAAGCTTTCTGCAGTAGGAGTCCTAGACCCCGAAGCTCAGCTACAGGGCTGGAAATGAGATCACTGTGATCCTAGTAAAGTCTACTTTGTCCTTTGGCCCGGAAGAGGCTTGACCTTCCAGGATCTCTGCGTCAGAGAAGCACGACTTTCCTACACAACGGGGCCCTCCAGGCATCCTGACAGCTTGCAACCTCAGGCCATCCTGGGGCAAACCAAGCTGCATAGTGACTTCTGACAGGTCCTGTTTCTCCTCTGTGTCTGATGAGTATGTGACAAACCTCTTTTTGGTCTCACTTTGCAGTGGGCAAAGGTGTCAGGTCTAAGAGACCCTCAGGATGGCTCAGTCCTTCCTACATCCTGCTCTGTCTAGTTTTTGGATAAAGATATTGAGGAAGGGGCTTTTGATCTCTAAAAATGTCTCTTATAGTGGAGGGTATACCTTTAAACCTAGTTCTTGGGACATAGAAGCAAGTGGATATCTGTGAGTTCAAGGCCAGCCTGGTCTATATACCAAGTTCCAGGCCAGGCAGTGTTACGTGATGAGACAGGTCAAAACAACAACAAAATCTCCCTTATAGAATATCTGTTTTTTTCCAATGATAATTTTGTTGTCTTAGAACAACATGGCCTTTCATCAAGCTTGGGACTGAAGCAGGGTAGGGAAATCACAGGGATGAGTAGGAGCTGTCCACTCTAGATAGATTAAAGTCATTAGCTGAGAAGCAGGAATTCCAGCACAATTAACAACACTCGCTGTAAAGGCTGCCAACCTAGAATTAATATTTCTTCCATATGTAAATATTTTATGTTAAAGTAGCAGGGGCCTAGGCTTAAGGCCTGAATATATATAACCTTCAGCAGGGCCTCATTTCTTCCCCCCAGGATCACCAGAGAATTTCAAACAAAACCCAAACTTTGTCTCAGTGGGCTAGACTTCTATCTTATCAATTGTGACCCTGCCTGGTGCCCCCAGGAATCACCCAGTGATAAAAGAGTAACTTCAAACCCCACCCAAACCCTACATGTGATCATTTTTTTTTTTTGTCTTTTTGAGACAGGGTCTCCCTGTAGCCCCAGCTGTCCTGCAACTCACTATGTAGACCAGGCTGGCCTTGAACTTACAGAGATCCACCTGCCTCTGCCTCCAGAGTGCTGGGATTAAAGGTGTGCGCCACCACACCCAGCTTACGTGTGATCTTTTAAAACAATAATCTCCTATTCTCTCCTGAGGAGAAATAATTACAAAGAATTCAAATCTTCTCTTTTTCTTTCTTTCTTTCTTTTTTTTTTTTGGTCTTTTTGAGACAGGGTCTCTCTGAGCCTCAGCTGGCCTGGAACTTGCTTTGTAGACCAGACTTGCCTTGAACTCACACAGATTCGCCTGCCTCTGCCTCTGGAGTGCTGGGATTAAAGGGGTTTGCCACCACACCCAGCTTGAATTAAAATCTTTTCTATCAAAAGAGTGATCATAGGAACAAAACCTTTGTAATGTTATTTTGTAAACTGCATCCCCCTCTACCTTGTGAAACTTTCATTTTTTCATTTAGAAAAATGCCCTGCTCTGTTCCCGGATTTTGATAGATCAGAGCAGCCCACTGCTTCCCTTTAAAACTGACCAACTCAGAAAGACTGTGAGGTCTGACTGCAGCTGATCAGGGGGCAAAACAATACTCTTGCCTTAGCATAAACAGCTGTCAAACTTCTGCTTGGTGTGCTTGTTCAGGTCCCAGTGAGGCAATGTACCCTTTGCAAAGTAAATGTGGCCTTGACAAGCTACTTCTCTTCTGTCCAAATGTTTTTGTGCAGTGTCTGTGGGGTCCTTGGAACCCAGATTTTATTTCTAACAGTACCCACACTTGGGTATGTCTTTCTTCTGAGTACCTCTTTTTTTCTACTAACCCTCATGCTTTACCCTATATTAAAGCATCTTTAATAGATTCTTCAACTCTGCTCCATAAACTAGTCCTGAAACTCTTCTCAGCCATGAATATTGGTTTGGCCTGAGTTGAGGTCCCTAAAACTCTTGAGGGGTTGCCTCAGGCAGTGGGGGAGCCATGACTCCCTCATCTTACCCCACCCCCAAATGATGACAGATTTGTCTCTTTTGTCATGTTCAGTGGAAGTGTGTCTAGCTCCCAAGCTTCCACAAGCGCAAGCTCGCCTCTGCTTTCTGCGAGGCAGAATGTGGATTGGGGCAGTGCCAGCTCCAGGGATCGCAAATGGCAATGGTTCAGTCTATTTAGAGTTTCATAGTCTTGATTCTCAGGTCTTAAAAAAGAATGGCTTAGCCGGGCGTGGTGGCGCATGCCTTTAATCCCACCACTCGGGAGGCAGAGGCAGGAGGATCTCTGTGAGTTCAAGGCCAGCCTGGTCTATATAGTAAGTTCCAGGACAGCTGGGGCTACAGGGAGACCCTGTCTCAAAAGGACCAA